TCAGGAAGGGCAAGAGAGTGTGCGTCCACCGTGGAACCCAGTTGCTGGGAGCTGTGGGGGTGGTCTTGGCATCCTGAAGGTCACAGTCCCCTTGCCTGGGTCCGACCCATCTTTCATTTGGGTCTGGGAGGAAGAGTGAAGGCGTGAGACTGGGTCCGAGGAGATGCTGGAGTCATGAGGCGCAGAGGCTGGTGACCCTCTGGGAATGACTGCGGCCACTGCGGGTCTGCCGACTGCGGGGTCTTTCATCCCTCTCGAGCCCTGAGCATGAGTTACCATCCTCACAAGAGCCAAGGTAAGTGGTAGTATCCCCATTTCGGAGATGAGGAAACCGAGGTACAGAATGGTTACATTACTTGCCTAAGGTTAAACAACTAAAGAGAAGTGGAGCTGAGATTTTGCCCCCCAAATCCTTGCCCTGTGCTGCCTTGTTTTCCCTTAGGAAAGCAGTTTTTAATGAGACTAATGGAGTGTTCAGTATTAGAAAGGAAATTGCCATTTGGCTCAGATTTCTCCTACCTGCTGCTGGAGGAGTGACCTTGTTCACCTCCTGAACTTTGGTTATTTTAGAATCTTTTTACTCAGGATAAAAAGCAGAGAAGAAAAGGAGATTCTGCCCTGTTTGGCACATTGTAGCTACCGCAGAAATGTTAAGTTGAAATATCTTGCCTTTGCTAATAGAGACTTTTGATGTAATGACGCTTGCAGTCCTATGGGCACTGGGAAGAAGTCCTTGTCTTTGACGGGTTCCTTCCAAGTGGAGCAATGGGTCTCTTAGAGTCTGTTATGCCCGAGATGTGCATACTTAATATGCAAAGAGAGGGTGTCACTTTGTACCTTTTCATTATTATAGACAAGATTGGAAATGGCTGTGGCACTAGCCTTGTGAGCAACTTTTATCCATAGACCTGCTTGCCTTATTACTACCTTAAATGGCCGACTGCCTTTTAAAATCACCTATTTTTGTCTTCAGTGATTAACTGCTCTATTTTTCAGCATCATACAGTACCCCCTTGCCAGCTCTCCCCCCAAGGGCGGCCTCAGGGTAGGACTTTCTGTTTTGAACAACTTAGCTCCTGGCCTGCAGAATCAAGAGACCCACACCTTTTACTGGCTGATCCCCAGAAGAGAGACAGTTCAGCTGGCTGCAAATGGGGGGAGCCCCAAGTGGGAGATGAGGCAGCTGGTTGGGTTTGAAGCAAGGGAGAAAGCACATCTGGGCAGCATAGACTCACAAAGCAGATAGACCAAGAACCGGAGTAACAGGAGCAGGGATGCAGCCCACATCTTTCCCAGAGCAGTGCTCTGAAGGTGTTTGGGGTTTGTGATCACTGACTGGGGCTGGCCTCACCAATTCTCTCATGAAAGGACCTCCAGAATGTTTTGGAAACATTTTTGAAAAGTTCACTTTAGGCCGGGTACAGTGGCTCACACCTATAATCACAGCACTTTGGGAGGCCAAGGTGGGGGATCACAAAGTCGGGAGTTCAAGACCAGCCTTGTCAATATGGTGAAACCCCAACTCTACTAAAAATACAAAAATTAGCAGGGTGTGGTAGTGCATACCTGTAGTCCCAGCTACTAGGGAGGCTGAGACAGGAGAATCACTTGAACCTGGAAGGTGGATTGTGCCACTGCACTCCATCCTGGGTAGCAGAGCAAGACTCCATCTCAAAAAAAAAAAAAAAAAAAAAAGAATGAAAAAGAAAAGCACACTTTGGTTCTCTGGCTTCTCAGTGTCCCAGAAGCACTACTTTGTTTTGCTCTCACTTCCCCTGTTTAAATATGTCTGCCAGTGAGTCAGGTTCCTGCAAGCTTTTATTCTAGGAACTGTTCCAGTTTTTCCCTTTATCTTTGTCCTACAATTAATCTGCAGTTGGAGAAGAAAGCCATTACTCTGGAGTGGGAGGTGCCCTCAGTGGCATTCAAGTTTTCAAATCCTGAGGGGCTGTCTTCTCGGAAGCACAAAGAATTTTGCTCATTGTGTGTGTAATTGCCAAGTGTAGGTAGGTTTCATTGGAAAGTGGCTACACTAGGCTGTCATGGCAACCTGATCATCAAATGACACTGTGGCCACAGCTGCCAATGAGGTTTGAGAGCCTTAAGGGTGGGTGGGGCTTGCAGCTGGATGCTGGCAAGGCTCCCTCCACATATTAATATTTCTGGTTCAGTCTGAGTCATTGCAGAGGAGGGGAGAGGAACTTTCTGACCTAATGCTACACTCCCAGAGGTACTGTACCTGCCCTGTTCTTATTCATGATATTCCGGCCCTTACAGGAAGCATCTGCTTTCTTCTGGCGTGTAACAGAGTGGTAGAACAAGGAAAGCTTTTGGTGGCATTGGCAGATTTGCTGTGTGAAGATGCTCAGGAGAGGAACTGCTACTTTATAGATTAATTGCAATCTGATGCCGCTGAATCCTAAGGGACCTAGTGTTGCTGTCACTATTTCCAAATACTAGTCACAGGAATGGAAATCAGAGGAGCTGAAACAGATGGGGGTCTGTGCCACCCAAGTCAGAATAATAAAACAGAGAGGAATCACACACAATGTGTGCTGTGCCCAGATCTTGGAGTGTGGAGCAGGCCAGTGTGAAACATCAGGGCTGAAACCCAAGGTCTGCTTTAGTTCCTCCATAATCTAGTTTTTATAGAGGTATTCAGAAGCTGTGACACAAACATCATTTTTGGTTGTATTTAGATAGGGCTCAACTTGCTCAAGTTACACCTTTCCCACACACCTGCTGCCTTCCAGTATGAGGTATTACCTACTGTCATTCCCAGTATCTGGCTTACTGACATTCTTTGGGAACTGAATACTGAAATCTCAGTTTTGGGTGCTGTTTGAAGTGGATGTTGTAACAGGAGCCCTGGGTGCGAGGCCCTGCCCTGCGTTGACAGGCTTTGGGAATTGGGCAAATCAGGTCACCTCTCCCAGGCCTGTTTGCTCCACTCAGAGATTAAGGGATGATCCCAGAGCCCCTCTGGGCCCCGCAGTCTGCAATTCCAGAAATAGAGCAGTTGTCCTGGACACTAGGCACCTGGAGATTGGCTTATTTGGGTAGAATTCTCCATTTTTGCATGAAGATGGAGTTCTGAATTGCCTGTGGAACTCAGTAGGATGGATAATTTAAATAAGCAAACACCAATTGACGTTTATCCAATGAAGACATTCTGTGGGACCCAGTCACAGCAGCAAATAGGTTAGAACCCTTTTTAAAAACTAATGTTGGAGTAGAATTGATGTTAGTATTGTAAAATAACATGTTGACAAGTAAGTGCAGACCATTTCAGAGACATTTCCTGACCCCATGATACTCTTGGTCTGTGAAGAGCTTTGTTATGATCAAGGAGATTCCATTCTTTTGTGTTCTAGAAAACAATTGTTCCTATTTGATAATCTTTAATAATTTTGCCTTATAATATAGAATATAAGTTTCAGGCTGGGCACAGTGGCTCACGTTTGTAATCCCAGCACTGTGAGAAGCCAAGGAGGGCAGATCACTTGAGGTCAGGAATTTGAGACCAGCCTGACAAACATGGTAAAACCCTATCGCTACTAAAAATACAAAAATTAGCCGGGCATGTTCGTGGGTACCTGTAGTCCCAGCTGCTCAGGAGGCCGAGGCAGGAGAATCGCTTGAACCCGGGAGGTAGAAATTGTAATGAGCCAAGATCGTACCACTGCACTCCAGCCTGGGCGACAGAGCGAGATTCCGTCTTAAAAAATAAAAAGAAGAAGAATACATGTTTCACTTTTTCTTTTGTTTTGAGACGGAGTTTCACTCGTTACTCAGTCTGGAGTGCAATGGCGCGATCTCGGCTCACCGCCACCTCCGCCTCCTGGGTTCAGGCAATTCTCCTGCCTCAACCTCCTGAGTAGCTGGGATTACAGGTACGCGCCACCATGTCCAGCTAATTTTTTGTATTTTTAGTAGAGACGGGGTTTCACCACGTTGACCAGGATGGTCTCGATCTCTTGACCTCGTGATCCACCCGCCTCGGCCTCCCAAAGACATGTTTCACTTTTATTTAGTATCATTTTCAAATCTCTTCTCAGATTTCTTTTGTTAAATACGTTATAAAACTCAATAGTACAGTTATATCTACCATAATTATTTTTAAAATACACTTTATTAGAAAATGAAATATTCAATTGAACTTGCTCAAAATTTTGCTTTTTTATATTAGAATGACTGCAGTCATCACTAAAATGAGAGACTTAACAGATCTATGTAATTTATTTTAGTTTCAGAAGGAAACATGAATAATTTAACAAAGGAAGACCAGCATTTTTTTTTTAAGGGCAACATCTCATTCTATAAAATAGAGTAAGCAATTCCTGAAGACCAGCATTTTAAGACTCAGCTCTTTTTTTTTTTGAGACGGAGTCTCACTCTTGCCAAGGCTGGAGTGGTGCAATGGCACAGTCTCGGCTCACTGCAACCTCCGCCTCCCAGGTTCAAGCGAGTCTCCTGCCTCAGCCTCCCAAACAGCTGGGATTACAGGCATCTGCCACCACGCCCAGCTAATTTTTGCATTTTTAGTAGAGACAGGGATTCACCATGTTGGCCAGGATGGTCTCAATCTCCTGACCTTGTGATCCACCCGCCTCAGCCTCCCAAAGTACTGGGAGCCACAGCACCCGGCAACGTGAACCTTTTTTAAAATAAAATAATAGAGGCTAGGCGTGGTGGCTCAGGCCTGTAGTCTCAGTACTTTGAGAGGCCGAAGCAGGCAGATCACTTGAGGCCAGGAGTTGGAAACCAGTCTGGCCAACATGGTGAGATCCAGTCTCTACTAAAAATGCAAAAATTACAGGTGGTGGTGGGCACCTGTAATCCAACTACTTGGGAGGCTGAGGCACAAGAATCACTTGAACCTGGGAAACGGATGTTTCAGCCTGGGTGACAGAGTGAGAGTCTGTCTCAATAATAATAAAAATGATACATTATTTTGTTCATTCCAATATAATGCCCTGACAACTCTATTTGCAGGTGCTCAGAAAAATAGGCCTTCATCAAGCATGGTCATAAGTTTGTTTCTTGAGGTCTTAGAGGCCCTCTAAGCTGATTCACTCATTTGGAAGCTGTTTATGAAACACCTTATTTGATCAAGGCAAGAGGTTAGTTCCAGACAAGGAGGTCCAAGGGTTTGAAGCAAGAGCCTTCTACCTTCAGGACCCTGGTGGTAGAGATAAAATGCGTGTTAAAATAGCCCAAGGCAGAACATTCTGGATTGTGCAGCTTAAGAGACAGCTGAGTGTCATGGATTTAGTGGAGGCTGAACAGGAATCTGCCTGGATAATCCAGTGAAACCTCATAGGATCTGCCACTACTAGGGTAGTCCAAGACCTGTTCTCACAGACTCGTTATCAGATCTCTGTTAGAAGGGCCTAGGTATCATTATCACTTGTCATAATCTCTGTTTCATAATGTTGTATATAAGTATCAACATCTTCTAACACCCTCTTTACGTGTTAACAAGCTTTTTAGTGCATTAAGAAGTCCTTTTACTTCTGTGATCCCCAAGTAATAACTATCCATTTTTATCCATCCCAGTAGTGGGAAGATGTAGTCTATATTAGGAAGTGGCGCACTGTGGAAGGAACAAGGGTGAGACTAAGCCTGTTCTCATCTTGGTGACGTGGTCTCTTCCTCCGCAGCACGAATCGGGGGAAGGAAGAAGTAGAGAATTCAGCCCGGCCTGCAGAGGATCGTCCTCCCCTGAAAAGGTCGTTCTGGAGCTGTTCTAGAACAGTGGAAGTTTCCGTGATGGCGGAAATGCCCAGTGACTTTGTGTGGCTATCCTGGGGAACTGAGTTTGTTCATTTCATTTTATTTTATAGAGTTTACTTTTTTTTTTCTTTATTGCCAGAGTTCTTTTGGCTATTAATGAATTTACTTTTTTTTGAGACACAGTTTCACTCTTGCTCAGGCTGGAGTACAATGGCGCAATCTGAGCTCATTGCAACCTCCGCCTCCTGTGTTCCAGAGGAGCCCACCACTATACCTGGCTAATGTCTGTATTTTTGGTAGAGATGGGGTTTCACCATGTTGGTCAGGCTGGTCGTGAACTCCTAACCTCGAGTGATCCGCCTGCCTCGGCCTTCCAAAATGTTGGGATTACAGGCATGAGCCACATGCCCGGTCAGCTATGACTTTATATTTAAAAAGCTTCTGTGTTGAACAGCAAAGTTCTAGCTGTGACTAAGACTGGACTTCTACATGTTCTGAGTGGATGTGGGCATTGAAGACTGTGAGTCTCATGTGAGGCCTCGGCTGACCCCAGATTGATGCTTATGGGGAGTCCTTCAGCATGGTGTCCTCTTCCCATCCCCATCATGTCAGCTCCTGGGCACTCTGGGGCCCCCAGGTGAAGGCTGGTTCCTCAGTGCTCACATTGCAGAATGGCCTGGAAAAGGTTTCAATGCACTGATCACATGTGGGCTGTGAAGGGCACATGTGGTCTATGGAGTTTCCCTGAAGCGGGAGTCAGCTAGAACTGTGCCAGGAGCCATGTGTGGCCAGGGTCTTGGCCAGCCAGGGCAACTCCCCTGCAGGATACATGGACCCATGGTGGGGTCCACTTTCCTGGATGGCCGGGCACCTGGCTCTCAGACACCCCTCAGCCTCCTCTCACAGCTGAACTGGACCCATTTTCAGTGGCAATCAGCTCCGTCTCTATCTACTGATCTTTTGATTGGGAATGATTTACTAAAAGGGCAAACTGTTGTGTTGTGTGACGAGTTTGGGGATCTTGTGTGAAAACAGGCTATAGGCTGTTTGTTCATTTGGAGGGGTTGGCAGCCAGAGGGTGAAGGTTTGTTTGGACTCCGGACCTAGTATCTAGACAAGCAGAACGCGTCATCCTGCCTCTTCTCCAAGAGTTAACTGCAGGGTGGGAGCTGTGACGTCAGCCCGGATCTTTGTGCCTCTCACTTGAGCAACCTGATGCGCCTTCTCCCCCGGGCTCTGTGTTCATTGGCTGTTAGCAGACCTTCCGTGGGAGGTTTTTTTTTTCTTTTTTCAATTAAGTAAAAGGGCGGGGCTTAAGCAGCCAATGGTAGCTGAGGCCCGGCTTGTCTTATGCAAGTTTCCCGAGACCGGCTGCATTTAGAGAACTTGCTCCGGGTGGCGAGGGCAGCGGAGCATCCAGCAGGCCGCCAGCATGCTCTGCCTGTGCCTGTACGTGCCGGTCATTGGGGAGGCCCAGACCGAGTTCCAGTATTTTGAGTCCAAGGGGCTTCCTGCCGAGCTGAAGTCCATCTTCAAGCTCAGTGTCTTCATCCCCTCCCAGGAGTTCTCCACCTACCGCCAGTGGAAGCAGGTCTGTAGGGGGACTGCGCAGCAGGGAAAGGCGCCTTCAACCGGTATTTGTTGAGTGAATGGCTGAGTGTGCGGGAAGCGTCCCCTGCCGAGAGGAAAGAATGTCTGAAATGTAGGAGTTTTTCCCATCGTCTTGTGGCTGTGGCCGGCACGTGTACGTAACCAGAGTGACTGGTTTTCATATGACTTCCCGGGAAGGCTGGAATTCTAGCGAAGGCTATTATGGGAGATGGACTTTCGGAAAGGAAATTCCTTTTGCTGGAATGGGGGGGTGTTCTTGAGAAGTACAGGGCCCCAAAGGGGTCCGGGGGGTAGGCCAGGACCACATGGGAGAAGGCAGGGAGGCCCAGGAGTTGGGAGGGTGCTACGGGGTGAAGTGCCTGTCCCTGATGTGGGGGTGAGGAAGCCTTCTCAACGCTCAGACATCCCTGGGGAGCAGGGCCTGTGTCTGCCCTAAAGGTGAGGAAGCTGAGCTTCGGAGTCTGGGGGCCCCTTGCCTCCTCAGCTTCTCCTTCTTGGGTAATCAGCTTCCCTGATACCGCCCCCCCCGCCCCCCCACCCCCCCCCCCCCCCCCCGCCCCATGCCTACTGTGCACTGAGAAGGATCTGCATATCCAAGGAAGGAGACAGAAGGAGTCCCGGGCCCTGTGAGGCAGAAGCAAGCACTTTGAGAATGTGTTGAAGCCAGCTGCAGCAAGCACACCCTCTGCTCCGGGTGTCTGTGTGACAGCGCCCACCCCAGGGAGGCATGTGGCTCACCCTGGCAGCAGGCAGCCAGGGTACCAGAGGGCTCTGTGCTTAACGTTCGCCTCCTCCGTAAGTGGCTTGTCCACTCTATTTCCATTCCTGTCAGGGATCTGGAGCAGTCACCCTATAGGTGATTTATGTCACCCTTGGCTGAGAGCACAGATGTCCACAGGAAGTTAAATGTAACCTCAGATAGCAGATAAAATATGTCCGAGCATCTGTCCCACATTCCAGCCACACCCCTCGCATTAGCCTGTTGATCATACCAGGTCATGGGGTTTCTGTCCAGGCCTCCCTGCCCCTGGCACCCTTGGCAGCTGAGGAATCACAAGGCACTGTCAGTAGTGTGTCAGAGAGGCATGGGGGTGATCCTTTGAGGGCCAAGCTAGCAGTGGGACATCCATTTCCAAACCCCAACTGGCTGTCAGTTGATTTCTCTCAGTGAGAAGTGTGGGGACACAGGAAGACCATAACATCTTCCTTGGGAGATTCTCGGTTACAGTTTTGGGTTCCGGATTCAGGGTGTAGCTGAGTTAGGGTGACTCACTTTCATCCCCCACATTCTGGAGGTTAGCCTCCAGGGTGGCAGCAGGATCTGCAGGAAGGTGGCCTGGGAGGACCACAGCCTGACTTGCATCCCGCCCACCACTTCCCTAGCTGTCTGACCTTGTGTAAATATTTAGCCCCTCTCAACTCCTGTTTCCTTCCCTGTAAAATGGGGAAAATGACATTTCCTACCTCCTAGAACTGTTTGCAAGGGGTGAGTGTTATTAGAAGCAAACATTTTGCACACCCTGCTGCCCATGTTAGGTGCTGGGGAGATGTTTGCTCTCATGAAGTCCCAGTTGCCAGGCATCCAAAACCATTAACAGCTGCTGAACGAAGCCCACCTCCTGGGAAGCGGGGACATGGTGGGGGTTTTTGGAACCTCACAGCCAAGGAATGGAGTCTCTTGGGTCACTAAAGTGGTTTTCAGTGACTGACTTGAGAGAGCCAGGGTCGCAATATCACCTGGCTTCCCGGAGAACAAGGACTGGCAGTACCATCAAGCACATACACTTGGCTCCCTACACTTCCCCAGCCTCGAGTGCTCTCTGGCAGGGTCTGGCTCTGCCCCCTATTTTCACCCTGGCCACCAAATTATTCTTGGACTAATGCCACGTTTAGGAGAGAAAGCAAGCTGCAGCGTTCTTGTCAGAAATGGTCATCCCCACGTCTCAGCAGGGAGCATGTGTGGTTGAAGCCTGGATCCAGGGATCCAGGGACGGCACTGCAATGGGGCCAAGCAGCTAACCCCAGCTGTACAGCATGCGGGTCTTCAGACTGAGAGCGCACCCAGCTGTCCCTGTTGGCCTCTGTCCAGAGGGCTCTTCCCAGGCTCCTTGTTCCCTCTGCTTGGGAGGGAGGTTCTGGCCAGCACTTGGGGCTCTAGGTGGTGGCTCTGGGGGTAGAGCAGAAGCATCTTGGGGCCAGCTCTGCTCATGGATTAGTGCAGTCATTGGGGATGGGGCCCCACAAGGGACAAGGAAAGGCTGGTCCAGGAGCCAAAACCCAAAACCTTACTTTTCTTTTCTAGAAAATTGTACAAGCTGGGGATAAGGACCTTGATGGGCAACTAGACTTTGAAGAATTTGTCCATTATCTCCAAGATCATGAGAAGAAACTGAGGCTAGTGTTTAAGAGTTTGGACAAAAAGAATGATGGTAAGTGCTGCCTTCAGAGCTGCACCTGGTCCAGCCTCGGGCCTCCCTGTGTGTCCGACTCCTGCTCACAGCCTCTGTTCTTGTAGGACGCATCGACGCACAGGAGATCATGCAGTCCCTGCGGGACCTGGGAGTTAAGATATCTGAACAGCAGGCAGAAAAAATTCTCAAGAGGTGAGTGCTCAGCCAGCCTCTGCATTTGGATTAAGTGTGATGAAAGGAAGGCTCTTAGACTAACCCTGCAATGCTATTCCCTGTGCTGATCCTGTTGCTCTGAACTTGGCCTTCTCATGGTTTGAAAGGATGAATAAGTAACCCCTGTGGAGGCCAGCCCCTCCCCAGGCTTGCAGGCCAGCTTTCATTTGAAGAATCACAGATCACCTGGAATTTTGCCCATTGGCCAGCAGCCATGAAGTGAAAACTAATTTGGGGGTGGTTGAAGTAGGTAAAAGGCCAGCACCGAGCACCTGTGCATGTGTTGGGGGTGGTGCAGAGGGGCTCACACTGCAGCCTGGATCCCAGGTAAATTTCTTCCCCATGCTGGTAACTTGCACTTAACTCTTTAGTCAGAGGTGCTGCCCCAAAAGATAGCTCCCTGGTGAGGAGCAGCTGCCAGGAAATCGCATGGAACAGCCCCGGAGTTGCCATCTGTCCTGGCTGGGCCTTCCCAAGACCTTGTGGACTGAACGTTGGCTGGTCCTCGGGGACAGCAGTCCTGGTGCTTGCTCCCTGGGTTCAGCCACTGTGGTTTTCCCAAAACCCTGTAAACTGAACGCTGGCTGGTCCCCGGGGACGGCAGCCCTGGCACCCGCTCCCGGGTCTCCTGGCTGGGCCTTCCCAATACCCTGCGGGCTGAAGACTGGCTGGTCCTCAGGGACATCAGCCCTGGCGCCCACTCCCTGGGTTCAGTCGCTGTGGCGGGCTCATCTCATGCTGTGCTGTGCCCACGTCTCTGGGTATGTGCTTGCTTCACTAACATGGCTCCAACCACTTATGTGCATTGTTTCTCCTCTCTCCTCTGCATCCTTTGTCTGTCTGTCAGAATACGAACGGGCCATTTCTGGGGCCCTGTCACCTAGTAAGTATCCTTGTAGCTGTGACTGCCTCCCTTGACTTCTGTGCCTGATCAGAACAGGGTTCTTGTGGGCCATTATATTCCCATTGTTGTGCTAAGTGGGGTGTGGAGTCCCCTGCCTTTTCTCCTGGGGGCAGAGGCGCCTCCTGTGTTTTCTGGGCAGCCACGGCACCTGCCCTTGGCTCACTGGGAGGCGGTGGGGGGGGTGCAGCTGGCAGGTGGGCATGTGGACCCGTGGGCAGCCTCGCCTCTGTCTCGCAGCATGGATAAAAATGGCACGATGACCATTGACTGGAACGAGTGGAGAGACTACCACCTCCTGCACCCTGTGGAAAACATCCCGGAGATCATCCTCTACTGGAAGCATTCCACGGTGAGCCCCATGCCCCAGGGACCCTGAGCCCAGCACCACTCAGTGCAGCTGAGGCTTTCCAGCCACCTCCTCTTCCACAGGAGACTGTCCCCTCCTCTGCCAGCCCAGTAGAGCTCTCCACATGCTCCCCCTGTTCTGGCACCGGCCAACCTGAACAGCCCCATTGTTCACACACAGGGTTCCTCTTCCAGGAACGCCTTCTGTCCCCACATGCTCCCTGCTCTTCATGGGCCACTTCAGGTACCCCTTTCCACAGTGCTGCCTGTTCTCCCAAAGCTGGTGTGACCCTTCCTCCCAGGGGGAGGGGGCGAGAGCAGAAGCTACTCTGCAGAGAGCTATGAGGTGTCCCCACGGTGGCACACTTGCTGCCCGTTCACCCCTGTTCACTGTGGTTTCATGTTCAGAAATGCAAGTCTGTGTCAGCCTCTGCCCCCGAGCCCCTCAGCATGGCGTGTCCCTCTCTTGAGTCTTGGTGTGCAGTCCTGGAGTGGACTATCCACTCCAGGAGGGGAGGCCAGAGGTGCTCCTCATCTGCCTTTCACAGTGCCAGGCCAGGATTCGTTGAGTGAACTTAAGTGGACAGCTTAGGGGTGGGAGCAGCTGGCCCAGAACTCTGGCCTTTAGCCCTGGGATCAGAGCGGAGGTGGCTGTGATCAGTCTGGATGCCACTCGGAGAGAGGTTACGCAGGCAGTGAGTCCTCGTGTTTGCCGAGGCCTTGCATAATGTTCGGCCAGCGTGATCCGGTTACACGTGAGGTTTCGGACGGCTTTTATCCCGACTTGATCCCTCCAGCACAGCCAGCCTGGTGACCTCACACAGGCCTTGTGAGCTTTTCTTGCAGGAGCTGCCTGGCAGCACTGGGAAGGGTTGGTGGATGGTTTTGGTACTGGCACCTTCCTGCTGTGTTCAGCTAAGACTCTAACCTGTGCCTCTCCAGGGCCCCAGCCCACTTCCTACCCAGGGTCCTTGGCCTTCTCCCTGTCCTGTGGCCCCTGGCCTGGAGCCATGCTAGAGGGTAGAAGGTGACCGGTGCCAGCAGCCTTGCCCCAAGGGTCCTGAATCAGGCTTGTGCCAACCTTCCTCACAGATCTTTGATGTGGGTGAGAATCTGACGGTCCCTGATGAGTTCACAGTGGAGGAGAGGCAGACGGGGATGTGGTGGAGACACCTGGTGGCAGGAGGTGGGGCAGGAGCCGTATCCCGAACCTGCACTGCCCCCCTGGACAGACTCAAGGTGCTCATGCAGGTATGTAAGGAAAAGGCCCCAGACCTGGGGGGCAGTTTTCACTTGGGGGATCCTGCTTGGCTACTTTTCCCTTTCTCTGACTGGTGCCTACTTTGGGCCCAAACTTTTCCAACCCAATAAATTAGACTGGAATTGTTACTCAGACAGGAGTACCATCATATCTACTCTAGGTGACATTTTGTGCAGAGTGGATCTAATTTTATCTGAGGCACTTAAGCCAGGTATCACATTACAAGGGCATAACGTGGACAAGTGAAGCCAGGGAGGCTGGGTGAGGCAGGAACCAATTTCTATAAGCACATCTTGTCCTCACCTGACTCAGACCCCAGTCGGAAACCACGCCATTACCTTGGCCAGGTACACAAATCCATGTCCACACAACAGAGATAAGCTGGGCTGACATTAAGGCAGAATTGGGAAACTGACCCACACAATGACACTTGTGGACTTTGATGTCTGAATGGTGACTGGCCACCACCTATCTCCTTGCTTGTACCTAACCTTGTTCCAGGAGCCCAGCTTGGAAGAGCTGCCTCCGTTCCCTCCCCCCTGCCTCGCTGGGCCTCCTTGTGCTGCACAGAGACAAAGGAAGCAGGTGGTTCAGGGCAGAGAGCCTTGGACTTGGACTCTGCCCGGGGCGCCACCACAGCTGCCTCCCTCCCTCTTGAGGCCTTTTCCTCCCAGGACTTCCCCTCCTCTGTGAAAATAGGGGCTTGTTTTTTTAGCAGAATTATCAGGAATGTTGTGGAGATTAAAAGCAGGTCTTGGGTGAAATGATAAAAGGCCTGGGATGTGCCTTTAAATCAGCATGGGTGGGGGCAGCAGGAGCTAGAGATTGGCTGTGGTTTGATCATTGTCGAAACTGGGTGGGCATTCATTCTATTTTTTAATATGTTTGAAGTTTTTTTAATAATAAACTCGATTTTTAAAAATTGTTATTATTTCGAGACAGAGTCTTGCTCTGTCACCCAGGTTAGAGTGCTGTGGTGTGATCTTGACTTACCGCAACCTCTGCCCCTGGGTTCAAGCAATTCTTCTGCCTCAGCCTCCCTAGTACCTGGGATTACAGGCGCACCCCACCATGCCCAGCTAATTTTTATATTTCTAGTAGAGACGGAGTTCAAGACCTGCCATGTTGGCCAGACTGGTCTCGAACTCCTCACCTCATGTGATCTGCCTGCCTCAGCCTCCCAAAGTTCTGGGATTACAGGCATGAGCTACCATGCTCAGCCTTTTTTTTTTTTTTCCTGAGACAGTCTCACTCTGTCGCCAGGCTGGAGTACAGTGGTGCAATCTTGGCTCACTTGCAGCCTCTACCTCCTGGGTTCAAGCGATTCTCCCTGGCTCAGCCTCCCAAGTAGCTGGAATTACAAGCACGTACCACCACACTGGCTAACTTCGTATTTTCAGTAGAGATGGGGTTTTACTATGTTGGAGGGCTGGTCTCAAACTCCTGACCTCAAGTGATCCACCCTCCTCAGACTCCCGAGGTACTGGGATTACAGGCCTGAGCCACCCTGCCTGGCCTTGATTTTTTTTTTGAAGTTATCTTTACAGAGCTGTTAAGGACAAGGCTGGCAGCCAGTGGATGCCCAGTACAATCTAGCTGAACCTCACTTAGCTAGAGGGTTACTTTGGTCTCATGGTGCCAAGCTCATCTGCAAAACCCACGGAAGAAAGACCCTTCTCTTTGGCCTCAGCTGGTTGGCCAGCAGATGCTCTTGGCTGGATGAGGCAGCCGTGTAGCCCTCGGGTCCAACTGACTGCTTGCTCCTCTCTCCCAGGTCCACGCCTCCCGCAGCAACCACATGGGCATTATTGGCGGCTTCACCCAGATGATTCGAGAAGGAGGGGCCAGGTCACTCTGGCGGGGCAATGGCATCAACGTCCTCAAAATTGCCCCCGAATCAGCCATCAAATTCATGGCCTATGAGCAGGTGAGGACCCAGCTCCCCAGAGAGTGTCACTGGCCAGCGGCTACTCACTGCCTGCACTTGCTGGCTTTCCTTGGACTGAGCTCCCTAACACTTGGAGCCAGCCAGGGGGTGGCAGGGCGAGGTGAAAGGCCTGGGCTCACTGTCAGTTCTCTACATTTCTGGGCAGCATAAAATGTGCCAGGGACTCCAGGGGCTCCAGGAGGAAGGGAGGGGCAGCAGCAGGTGCCCCAGCCTCTGGGTATATCGGGTGGTTTGTTTGCTCCTGGTTCTAGATCAAGCGCCTTGTTGGTAGTGACCAGGAGACTCTGAGGATTCACGAGAGGCTTGTGGCAGGGTCCTTGGCAGGAGCCATCGCCCAGAGCAGCATCTACCCAATGGAGGTGAGGGGCCGCCTCGGTCCTGGGGCAGGCAGTGTGCCTGGGGCTAGGGAGGCACAGGCTGTGCTCACGCTGCCCATTGCTCCTGTTGTGCAGGTCCTGAAGACCCGGATGGCACTGCGGAAAACGGGCCAGTACTCAGGCATGTTGGACTGCGCCAGGAGGATCCTGGCCAGAGAGGGGGTGGCTGCCTTCTACAAAGGCTATGTCCCCAACATGCTGGGCATCATCCCCTACGCCGGCATTGACCTAGCAGTCTACGAGGTGAGCTCAAGAGGGCTCAGGCCCCTGGCCCAAGCCAGACAGGTTTAGAAACCCCCTCCCAGCACACCTCCGCCTGCTGTCTCCTTCCTTGACGGATGCATGGTTAGCACAGGAAACCACTGCGCCTCCTTCCAGCTCCTCTGTTCATTGCAAGGCTTTCCTTTACCCTGACTGTCTCTGGCAGCCCCCAGCAGCTCCCTAGGCTCTGCATTGCCAGGGGCTCAGCAGGCAGATCCCCAGAGCAGGGTGGCCCCAGGGGCTCGAAGGCCCAAGCACACTCCAGACAGACCCCAGAAGTCAGCCCTTCTGTGTGGGGAAGGAGGTGTTCCCTCTGCCTTGTCCTGGAATTCCCAGTGACAGCAGAAACAGGGCAGCCAGGCCTGGGCCCGGCAGTTGGGTTCCAGTGGCCTAAGGATCCAGTAACAGCCCCACCTCCCATCTCTTGCTGCCTGACTAGCCCTTCCTAGGGCTTATCCCATGCTCCTTTCCCCTTCTAGACGCTCAAGAATGCCTGGCTGCAGCGCTATGCAGTGAACAGTGCGGACCCCGGCGTGTTTGTGCTCCTGGCCTGTGGCACCATGTCCAGTACCTGTGGCCAGCTGGCCAGCTACCCCCTGGCCCTAGTCAGGACCCGGATGCAGGCACAAGGTAAGGCTGGCCCTGAGCAGTCTTTTGGGAGGTCAAAGGGTGCAGACGGAAGCATCTGACTGGTGGTCTCTGTCCTGCAGCCTCCATTGAGGGCGCTCCGGAGGTGACCATGAGCAGCCTCTTCAAACACATCCTGCGGACTGAAGGGGCCTTTGGGCTGTACAGGGGGCTGGCCCCCAACTTCATGAAGGTCATCCCAGCCGTGAGCATCAGCTATGTGGTCTACGAGAACCTGAAGATCACCCTGGGCGTGCAGTCGCGGTGACGGGGGGAGGGCCACCACGCGGTGGACTCGCTGATCCTGGGCAGCCGCTGCCCAGGGTATGCAGCCATCTCATTCTGTGAATGTGCCAACACTAAGCTGACTCGAGCCAAGCTGTGAAAACCCTGGACGAACCCGCAGGGAGGGTGGGGAGAGCTGGCAGGCCCGGGGCTGGTCCTGCTGACCCCAGCAGACCCTCCTATTGGTTCCAGGGAAGACCACAGGCATTCCTCAGGGTCCAGGGTCAGCAGGCTCTGGGCTCACATGTGTAGTGACGGGACATTTTCTGCAGTGCCTACCAACAGTGAGCTTGGAAGCCGGCTTAGTTCTTCCATTTCATCCTTGCAGCCAGGGGTTGGCACGGCCCCTGCCCTCTGGCCTGCCACGTATCTCCCTGTTCCCTCTGCTTCCTGCCTCGCTGCTGATGTAATAGGGTGGGAGGAGGGCTGCAGGCCACATCCCACCACCTCATCCAATCCCGAAATCCATGATAAAAGGTAAGGTCACGTGGCCTCCCAGGCCTGACTTCCCAGCCTGTGGCACTGATGCCAACTTGGCTGTGCCAGGAAGAGGAAAGGGTCTGGCCTTGCACTGACTGGTGTCTGAGCCCTGCTGATGGCTGGGGCTACTGGGCATGCATGGGAGTGCAGGGGGCTTGGGCCGCCTGACCCAGCTGCACCGAAGGCAAATGCTGGGCTTACGGTGCTCCGAGCTGGCCCAGACCCTGCCAGGACTGGCACCAGCTCCAAACCAAACTCACTGTCCCGCTGTGGCCTGAGGGCAGTGGAACACTGTGTTTGAGAGAGAAGGGCAGAGCGTTTGTGTGTCCTGGAGAGGGAAGGAAAAGGTGTTGGAGGCCTTAATTATGCATTGTTGGGAAAAGGGTTTTGTCCAGAAAGACAAGCTGGACAAACGAGCGAGTTCTGTGCTTCTAGAGGAAGACAAGGGAGCCGGGAGTTTGGCTGTCTGCTCAGACTCTGTTCTGATGTCCCTGGGGGTTCCTATTCAGCCCCTGCCACAGCGGGACCAGCCTCACATTCCACTCGTGTCACTGCTTGGAACCTATTTATTTTGTATTTATTTGAACAGAGTTATGTCCTAACTATTTTTATAGATTTAATTAATAGCTTGTCATTTTCAAGTTCATTTTTTATTCATATTTATGTTCATGGTTGATTGTACCTTCCCAAGCCCGCCTGCTGGGGTGGGAAGAGGAGAGGAAGGAGGGGCCTTGGGCAACCACAGTCTTAGAATTTCAAAGAAATTCTTCTTGGGACTGAAGGCAGAGGAGCGGGGGAAGGACTTGCCCCACCCCCAGGGAGCCTTAGGATTTCAGGGTTTGACTGGGGGCTTAGAGAGGGTGGGGGGATCCCCAATCAACTTGAAGGTGGAAGTCCAGTCACCTCCTGCACTGGGGGGGTTTCTGTATTTCACTCTTTCTGAACGGCAAGGCAGTGAGGTGCCTCTCCCTGTGCATTTGCGGTGGGCAGGGCTGGAAGAGAGGGTGGGGGGCTGGCTCCCTCCCTCCCAGCCTTCTGCTGCCCTTGCTCAACAACGCCGGCCCACTGGCAAACCTTCAATAGGATGCAAAGATCAATGCAAAAATACTGTTATATATGAATATATATATATAGTTATAACTGGAATTGTCAAAAAGCAAATTAAGAAAGAATTGGAAGTTGTCATTTAAAGAAGCCTTCTAATAAAGTTGTTTCAAAGCTGATCGTGGAGCCAGGATTTTTCTGACAGGGGCATGGGTGGTCTAGGGGTATTGGCATGTTAGAAAATGAACCCATGTCTCCCCTCTGAAGCCTGGGCAGCACCCCTTTTGCTTCTTAGAGGCACTCCCTCTTTAATGGGTGTTTGTTTGATTTGGGGTGTGCTAACAGTCACCAGTGCCCTGAGTTGCTGTGTAGGGTCATTTCTCAGCCTATCTCAGAAGCAGGGAGGGAGGGGTGGTCTCTCCTACCGCCGGAAGTGCCATCTTCACAGGGACACCAAGGACATCGCTGGGCTTCTCTCCCTCCTCCCAGCTGCCCCTCCCCAGCCTCACTCTGCTCCTGCCTCCCCACACCCTCTCAGTAACCTCATCTCCCTCAGGATTACCTTTAATATCTATATTTAGATGACCCTCCTTTTATATTTGAACCAACTCCAGCCTCATCAGTATAACTGAACTCCACATCTTAAACAGCACCTCGAGCGCAGCGTGTTGGAAGCCAAACCCTTCATTCTCCTCCCAAAATCTGCTTCCATTTTCCTCATGCCGCAAACGCAACTTCTTTCTTCTATCAACCTAAACCAGACAGCTTGTAGTCAGCCCGACTCTGCACTTAACCTCTGTTCTAGGGCAGTCCACCAGCAAATACCCTCAGCTCCAGCCTCAAAACAGATGTGCTCTCTGACTGATTCTCATGAACTCCACCCGTGCCACCGTCAAAGGCAATGTCATGTCTCGCCTGGACAATTGCAAGACCTAAACTACTGCCCCCTGCTTCCCTTCACTCTCCACCCCAAGCCTGAGGGACCCTTCAAAAACCTAAGTGCATAGCCGGGCGTGGGGACAGGTGCCTGTAGTCCCAGCTACTCGGGAGGCTGAGGCAGGAGAATGACTTGAATCCGGGAGCAGAGGTTGCAGTGAGCCGAGATCACGCCACTTCACTCCAGCCTGGGCAACAAAAGTGAAACTCCATCTCAGACGAAAACAGAAAAGAAATAAGGGGCCGGATGTCATTCTCCATGTCTTCTCTGTCAATTATGCTACTTATTTTCATTGCCGGGTTTCATTCTGTTCCCTCACCCTTGAATGTGAACGAACTCCTTAAGGGTGGCCGTGTCTGTCGGCTTTGTTCACTGCTGCTCCCAGCACCTGGAGCCTGAACAGTGTTCAGTGAATCCTTAACATCCAGGTATTTCTTGGTGTCATCAACAGAATTATGCCCCTGCCGCAAGATGTCCATGTCTTAATCCCCAGAACCTGTGAATCTCATCATATGGCCAAGGGGAATGAAGGTAGCAGATGGCATGAAAGTTGCTAATCAGCTGACCTTCAAACTGGGAGATTATCCTGAGTGTGATCACAAGGGTTCTTCAGTGTGGATAAGGAGGCAGGAGAGAGAACAGAGACACGGCATGAGAAGGACTCAGCCCTCTGCTGCTGGCTCGAAGGTAGAGGAAGGGACCACAAGGAACACAGGCAGCCTCCAGAAGCTGGAAAGGTACAGAAGTAGATCCTCCCCTTCCTTCCCTGGAGGCTCCAGAAGAAACACAGCCCTGCAGACACCTTGATTTTAGCCCGGTGAGGCCCATTTCAGACTTCTGACCTCCAGAACTGTGAGATGATAAACCTACATTGTTTAAGCCACTTCCCACCTACTGGCCCCCTGGTGGAGATAAAATCCCCTTAGTCAGGGTTTTTTGTTGTTGTTGTTGTTGTTGTTTGAGACAGAGTCTTGCTCTGTTGCCAGGCTGGAGTGCAGTAGCACAATCTCAGCTCACTGCAACCTCTGCCTCCTGGGTTTAAGCAATTCTTCTGCCCCAGACTCCCAAATAGCTGGGACCACAGGGGCATGCTACCACGCCTGGCTAATTTCTGTATTTTTAGTAGAGACAGGGTTTCACCATGTTGGCCAGGCTGGTCTTGAACTCGTGACCTCAGGTGATCCGCCCGCCTTGGCCTCCCAAAGTGCTGCGATTACAGGCATGAGCCACCGCGCCCGGCCCTAGTCAGGGTTTCTTTTCTTTTTTTTTTAAAGACAGGTTTCACCATGTTGGCCAGGCTGGTCTTGAACTCCTGACCTCAGGTGATCCGCCCACCTTGGCCTCCAAAGTGCTTGGATTACAGGCATGAGCCACCACGACCGGCCTTAGTCAGGGTTTCTAACCATAGTCCTGAGCAGGGAAGGGCACGGGGGACAGGGCACATCTCAAAGTCTGATTCGAGGCACGATGCTCCCTGGGGCCCACCTGAATCCGGCTGGCATAGAAGCTCTAGGGGAGCCCTGGGGCAGGGGTAGGGTGGGTGGTTGGCAGACCCCTCCTCTTCCACCAGGGAGCCCAAGCTCTGTGGGGCCCTCTCAGACACTAAGGTCTTTGGGGACACAGTCACAGCTGCCTGCTCTCAGGAAAGGCCCCAAGAACCTGGAGCTGGGCCACACTGGTCCAGAGAACGAGGGGTCAGGGCAGCTACAGAGTGGCTTCCCATAGACAGACTGGGGCAGTGGAAGTCCCTGTTCCACAGCATCCAAGCTGAGCGACCTTGGGCAAGTCACACCACCTCTCTGAGCCTGTTTGCTTGTCCATTAGATAAGAGCAAGATGAGACTGGGAGGGCTGTTGGAAAGTTGAATTGAAACGAGGCAGGAAATGGGATTTGACCCAGTCCTACTGGCTTCATCTCCCAGCTGCCCTTCTTCCTCCAGCATTCAGACACACTCACAGTAATCCCACTTCAATCATCTCTGCCTGGGATCTCCTGCATCTGTGAGGAAATCCAAAGCCAACCAGAGAGCCGCCTGAGCCGTGTGGTCGGTGGGTCCTCCTTGCCGGGGCACTGCCCACGCAGGACTTCACTCAGCTCTCAGCAGGTGTAGGAGGTGCCTCCACATCCCCATTTCACAGACAAGGAAACGAAGGTTTCAGGAGTGGAGGGGATTGGCCAGGACCTTGGATGCAGCAGACCCCCGACTGGCAAGCAGCATGCAGGGGAGTGAAGCTGGGGTGGGCTCTGCTGGCGCCACCCACCAGGAACGGGGGGAAGGCAGAGAGCTGCTGCCCACACCAGACCCTGCAAGCTGGAACCGTGCCGCAACCAACCCATGGGATCTTCACCAAGTCAGACATGCCCCAGGGCCAGGCGTTCCTTGCCTCACCTCAGAAAGGTGGCACCTGGTCTCTGGCTTCCTCCTCGAAGCCAGGAGGCCACAGAGAACCTGGGAAATGTTGGGCAGGCCTGCACTTGAACCCTGGGTCCCGGTGGCGTGATCTTGAGCAAGTCTTCTGCCTCTCTGAGCCTCAGTTTCCTCACTAGCAAGACAGGTGTTAGCCTTCTGACAGCTCGTGGGGGAAGCAGCTGCTCTGGTTCATGTAAAGGGTCAATGTGAAACAGATTCAAACCAGCTCTGTTGACCCGGAAGCCCTGTTCTCACCTGGGGCTTGCCCTGTGCTGCCCTAGTCCAGATTTCACAGGTCTGAGTGCATTGGAAAGTAGGGGAAGGGTGGGAACAGGTAGGGCGGGTGTGCTGGGCCCAGCTGCCCAGGTGCGGACTTTGCTACCTACAGCAGCAGCAGGCCACGTGGCCTGGGCTGGCCAGGAACAGGCAGCAGGAAGGGCATGTCATTATAGCACCCCTATCCTGCAGACAGGTAAACTGAGGCCAGGGAGGGCTCCAGGCCTGCCCCAGTTCTCCGAGGGGCAAGATAAACCTAGGTTCTCCTGCTCACAGCTCCTCTGAACACAGGGGCTGGCCAGGGAACAGTGGCCACAGGTGGCCCAGGAGGAGCCGTTATCACCCACAGCAGTTGTTGAGGCTAAAGAGACAGAGCTGGCTCCACCCAAGCTAGTCAGTATGGAGCACCCCTGGCAGAACCAAAGAGCCCAACCTCCCACCCCTCATCTTACAGATGAGGAAACTGACAGACTGGAAGCCCTGGGACTTGCCCAGGTCACCATGTGCCCCACCACTGTTTCTCTTCTCTTCTTCACTGTTTCTCAGACTACACCTGGCTTAAATCTTACGTATTAGTGTCCTGGAGCAGCTTCGACCAATAACCACATACTTGGTAACTTCGAACAACACAAATAGCTGGGAGCCAGGGTGCACACCTGTAATCCCAGCACTTGGAGAGGCTAAGGCAGGCAGATTGCTTGAACCAGCTTGGGCAATATAGTAAGATATCATCCTACAAAAAATACATAAATTAGCCAGGTGTAGTGGCACACATCTGTGGTCCTAGCTACTTGGGAGGCTGAACCTGGAGGACCACTTGAGCCCATGAGTTGGAGACCAGGCTGGGCAACATAGTGAGTCCATATCTGCAAAACATTAAAAGAAACATTTTTCTGGCCAGGCGCGGTGGTTCAAGCCTGTAATCCCAGCACTTTGGGAGGCTGAGGCGGGTGGATCATGAGGTCAAGAGATCGGGCCCATCCTGGTCAACATGGTGAAACCCAGTCTCTACTAAAAATACAAAAATTAGCTGGGTGTGGTGGTTCACACCTGTAGTCCCAGCTACTCCGGAGGCTGAGACAGAAGACTAGCTTGAACTTGGGAGGTGGAGTACTGGGACAAGTCCTAATATGTATGATAAAGTATATTGTTTGCTGAGAATGATGGCAAGGCAAACCTGGCCGCCCGCCCCCTCCCCCCCCCCACCAAGTGGAAAACTACTTGGGGCACTCTAAAGTAGCGAAACAGTATATGTATATCATACACCGGTTAAAACAATTATTTAAGCACGGGATGCGTGACCCTGCCCCCTGGGCTCCCTCGTGGAGAATACTTTTTAGTTTGTCTGTGATCAGTGGTAAGCAGGCACCAGCTGCCTACCTAGTTTATTTTTGTTCTATGAGAAAACACAGGACACCTGTTTGTTAATAATAATCACCTGTTCAGAGGGACTAAATACTCGGGTCAGAGTCCGCTCGAGGCCCTCAGCCCGGAATGCTGTCAGCCCCTGAGGCTCACAGCTCGGAAGGCTGCTGGCCCCCGGATAGTCCCTCTTTGCTGTTCTATCTGAGTGTCTGCTTCTTAATGCCTTCAGCGCCGCCTGGGTGGGGGTTTCTACGGCCGAGCTGGACCCAGTAGCAGAGGTTGTAGTGAGCCAAGATTGCGCCACTGCACTCCAGCCTGGGCAACAGAGCAAGACTCCGTCTCAAAAAAAAAATTATCCAGGCATGGTGGCATGTGCCCATAGTCCCAGTTATTCAGGAGGCTGAGGTGGAGGAACACTTGAACCTAGGAGTTCAAGGCTGCAGTGAGTCATCATCATGTCACCGTACTCCAGCCTGGACAACAGAGCAAGACCCTGTCTCAAAGAAAAAAAAAGGAACAGACACAAAAGCAAACCAGCATCCCCCCCATGAGCTCACTCTCCCCAGGGAGGAGGGAGCTTGCTGTTCTCAGGACTTTCCGTTCTTACTTCCTGGAGTCCTTGACCTTGAGCTCTTGGAGCCAGTGTGGAACACAGCAGGGAGTATGTTCTGAGAACAGACAGCAGACCCTGCCAGCTTCATAAAACACCCCTCAAATATCGACTTTGTGTATCATCACCCACAACACCTTCCAAGCCCTGGCCTTACCCGTCCCATGGAGGTTTACTGATGCCATTTCTCAGTCGGGATGGGGCTTGCCCAAGGACACAGTGCCCAGTGGCCAGTGGCCAGGTCCTGAACTCAGACCTTCTGAAGCCATCAAGACCACAGGGAGCCGGGAATGGTGGCTCACACCTGTAATCCTAGAACTTTGGGAGGCCCAGGCAGGAGGACTGCTTGAGGTCAGGAATTTAAGACCAACCTGACCAACATAGCACGAACCTATCTCTATTTTTTATAATTTTTTAATTTAGAGATGGAGTCTTGCTCCGTCACCCAGGTTAGGGTACAGTGGCACAATCTTGGCTCACTGCAGCCTCCATCTCCTGGGTTCTGGTGATTCTCCTGCCTCAGCCTCCTGAGTAGTTGGGATTACAGGCACACAACACCAGACCCAGCTAATTTTTGTATTTTTAGTAGAGATGGGGTTTTGCATGTTGGCCAGGCCAGTCTCAAACTTCTGACCTCAAGTGATCTGCCTGCCTCAGCTTCCCAAAGTGCTGGGATTACAGGTATTAGCCACCACGCCTGGCCAAGATTTTTTTTTTGAGAGGGAGTTTCGCTCTGCTTCCCAGGCTAGAGTGCAGTGGCCGTGTGATCTAGGCTCACTGCAACCTCCTTGGCCTCTATTTTTTCAAGAAAGAAAAAAAGACCACAAGGGCCATGCCATCACCTGAACATGGCACTAATGGGGCAGGGATTCCTGGCTTTGGGCCAGTTCCTAAGAAGAGGCTTTTTTTTTTTTTTTTTTAATAGAGACAGGGTTTTACCTCGTTGGTCAGGGTGTTCGAACTCCTGACCTTAGGTGATACACCTCGGCCTCCCAAAGTGCTGGGGTTACAGGCGTGAGCCACCATGCCCAGCCTTTTTTTTTTTTTTTTTTTTTGAGGGTCTCACTTTGTTGCCCAGGCTGGAGTGCAGTGGTGCAATCATAGCTCGCTGCAGCCTCAAACTCCTGGGCTCAGATGACCCTCTCACCCCAGCCTCCTGAAGTGCTGGGCTTGCAGGGATGAGCCCCAACCTCTAGAGGCATGTTTTTTCCTAGCCACTTACTTTCGGACTCTTACAGCTAAGCCCATTTTACAGATGGGCAGAGTCGCTGAGTAATGAGGGTTCCGAGATTCATTCCAGGAATTGGCCGCGAGGTGGAAGCACCAGACCTTCTTTCCATCTCCTACGCGGCCTGGTGGGCTCTGGCGCCCTCTGGTGGCTGTCAGGAACCATATCAAGAGGTCTGACGGAGAAACAATGGGGAAAATGAGGCAGAGTTGTGGCCTCTTGGGAGAGGGAAACTCGCGGGGAGAAGCTGAGTCGAAGCGGTGTCCTGCGGTGGCCTCAGGCTGACTGGCCATTCTCCAGAGAGAGGTGAGCCTGTCAGAGAGGTCTGGTTAGCACAGTCCTGGGCCCTTTCATCAAAGTGAGCACTCAGGGGAGGAGGGTGCAGGCTCCTCCCCATCAGCAGCCCCGGGGAAAGAGCCCTGGTCCAGGACTCAGGCCCCTGTTCCTAGCGTGGCTCAGCTGCCAACAGGATCTCCTTGTTTCCTCCTCCTTAAGGAAGGAAACCTTATCCCTGAGTCTGTGAAGCCAGAGAAAGGGTCAATGCCTGGTGGCTGAGGCCAGGCCTACATCCGGGGCCGCCTAAGACAGACCAGGGCCTCAACGGGAGGCTGTAGGGAAGAGCACCGACCTGCAGTCACTGGGCTGAGCAGGAGGAACAGAAAGGGCTGGGAGCACAGGGTGGGGTTCTGGGCAGTGAGACCCTTCCCTGGCCTCCGTGTTATGAACAGAAGGTGGATGCCTTGTAACAAGCTGGCCACATCAGATGCTCTTTCAGGACTCTGGCTCTGAGACAAAGCGAGGTGAGTCGGGGAGGGAGGGAGGGAAGGAGGGAATAAAAGAAAAAAAAGAAGAGAGAGAGGTGAGTCAGCCTCCATGTGCAGCTGGAAAGGTATCAGGTAACCATGGGTGAGGTCTGAAGAAGCAGGAAAAGCCTGTCTGGGAAGGGAAGTGAGAGTACAGAGCAGGGATGGAGGATGCTGGGGTGGAAAGGCGAAGCGATGCAGGAATGGAGGCATGGAGGATGGAGGGGTGCGGGGATGGAGGGGTCCCTGGAGCAAAGGCCCCTCAGGACTTTAGGCCTGACCAGTGAAGTGGAAATGCCATTCTGGGCACTGTGGTGGCTCTGGGGCTCCCACACCTGTTGGCCCCTCAGGTGGCTGCCACGGCTCCTCAGGTCACAGATGGGCACAGCCTCAGGCCTGGCTGCCGCCTCCCACCTGCAGCCCCAGTACCTGGAGTTAGCACCCCCAGAGAGCTAGTGGGGGCGCTGGCTGGTGGACTGTGGTGCATCCAGGTGGCAGGGCACCGTGCAGCCATACGGACAGGCCAGTGTGACACACAAGCCAACAGGGAGATGCCCAGGACGGGGATGAGAACATAGCAGGTGGCAAACAAGCCCCTGTGGGAGAAACTGAGGTCGCCAACCACACAGGGTACCTGCCCCTACCCATGGCTCCAAATGTCACACGGTGCTTCCAAATGTCACACTGCCTGCCTCAAGTTCTCAAATGTTAGCTATTACAGAAATGGGAATTATTTTTTTAAAATACTACTAATAAAATACAAAGTTTCACCGGGTGTGGTGGCTCACGCCTGTAATCCCAGCACTTTGGGAGGCCTAGATGGGTGGATCAGAGGTCAGGAGTTCAAGACCAGCCTGGCCAAGATGGTGAAACCCCATCTCTAAAAATAAATAAAATAAAATAACTCCCTGTTTAAAAAAAAAAAAAAAAAGTTGCCTGGCTGGGCATGGGGTCTCACACCTGTAATCCTAGCACTTGGGGAGGCTGAGGCAGGCAGTTCGCTTGAGCCCTAGAGTGTAAGACCAGCCTGGGTAATATGACAAGACCCAATATCTACAAAAAAATTAAAAATTAGCTGAGCATGTTGATGTGGGCCTGTTGTTCCAGCTACTTGGAGGCTGAGGTGGGAGGATCACTTGAACCTGGGAGGTCAAGGCACAGTGAGCTATGATCATGCCACTGCATGCCAGACTGGGTGACAGAACAAGACACTGTCTCAAAAAAGTTTCTCAAGAGGGCAATACCCATAATTCCCATGGGGCATTGCCCAGTCCATGAAACTGGGAGGGCCCAGTAGGAGGCCCCCAGCAGTGCACCCAACCTCAGTGAAGTCAGGGAACTGAGGAGCCCCTTCCTGGATGCTCTGTGCAGGAACCCATACTCACCCTCAAAGGCGGAGCCTCTTCTCCCATAGACCCTGGCCTAGCTGGGACTGAAGCCAGGGGTGGCCACCTGAGGGGCCTGTGCTCCCTGAAACTGGGTCCCCTCTGTAGCTCAGACATCTGAATAGCCTGCCCTGCTCCTATCACTGGACTCTCCTGCACGGCAGGGACAGATGAAGAAACTGAGGCCTGATTAGGGATCCCACCTCAGAGTCCCACCGTGGATATGGACAAGCCCCAACCTGCACCCTCCACAGCAGGCTATGTGCCGAGTGGTATCCTGCGCAGCCGTCCCATGCTGCCACCTGGGAAGCACCGGGCCAGCGGTTAGTTACCGCCAGGGCCGCTGCAGCGCAAGTCTGACGCCTCCCTTGACCACCAGCCCCACGCAGCACTGAGCCACACAGAGCTCCAAGCAATGCCCGCCGTGATGGGGGCCACAAACCTTTCCTTTATTGCAAACATGTCCCAGTCCCAGGAGGCTTGGGAAGAGTGGGAACCAGGGAAACCCAGTGATGGGATTCCACTGAAAATGAACCATCCTACTGTCCTGCCAGGGCCCCCACCCACAGGATGTAGCCACGGGACAGCCACTGAGGGCCTGGGAGAGAGGCAGCAGAGCAGCGAGGCCAGGACAGGGAAGGTCCGGCCCAGGGCAGGGGCAGGGCTGGAACTCATCCCAACATCCCTGGGCCCCAGCAGGTGCCCTGTGTTAGAAGCAAGAGGGCTGGGGGGGTCAGGGAGTGGACAAGAGCCAGAATGATCCTCCCCCACCAGCATTGCCAGGTGCTGGCCCAGTGGCCCCAGGCCCTGGCAGCTGGCGTCTTCCGCTGCCTTCCCCCTGCTGCTCGTGGAGACACTCAGTGAGCTGGGGAGGCCTCGGTGATGGCCCTCTCCACCCGCAGGTACCAGGGCTGGATGCGCGTGTGCTGCATCAGGTCATCAAAGGCATCCAGCCCCTCCATCACTCGCAGCACGCCATACACCGCCTGGGCATGAAACAAAAGCATCACCACAGCTGGCCTGATAGGCATCCAAACCTTCCCCTTCTCTGCCAGCTGTGTGCCAGGGCTCGTGACACACTCAAGGGCCAACAGCACAAGTGGGGCTTTGAACAAAGCATGTGGGGTGGCTGCAGGCCTCGCCTGCTTCACACCTGCTACAAACCCCCCAGCAAGTTTCCTTGGGATAAATGCCCTCCTCTACTCTCAGGGCCTGAGATTGGAGAGAAGAGAGCCCACCGCCCAGGGGTAGGATATTTTTAAAAATGAGCATCTGGCAAGGTGTGGTGGCTCTCGCCTATAGTCCCAGCACTTTAGGAGGCCGAGGTGGGTGGATCACCTAAGGTCAGGAGTTCAAGACCAGCCTGCACAACATGCTGAAACGCTGTCTCTACTAAAAGTACAAAAATTAGCTGGGTGTGGTGGCGCAGGCCTATAATCCCAGCTACCTGGGAGGCTGAGGCAGGAGAATTGCTTGAACCCGGGAGGTGGAGGTTGCAGTGAGCTGAGATTGTGCCACTACACTCCAGCCTGGGTGACAGAGCGAGACTCAATCTCGAAAAAAGAGCAAGGAAGCCAGGCCAGTGAGACCCTGTCCCAGGGGTCTTGCTGGAAGAAGCCTGGAGCACCAGACGGACCCAGCCTGCCTGAGCCTGAGGCCAATTCCAAGAAGGGCAGGGTTGATAGCGAGAGGGACAGCCTTGGCCCTGGTAACGCCACCAGGGCCTCTGGATCCAGCAGGGCCTGCAGCCGACCCTTTCCCTGAACTTGTCAGTTATATTGACCCAAGCTGTTGCTGGTTGTCGTTTCTCTCCTGGAGCCACTCTGAGGTGAGTTTCTGTCCGTGATGGCGGAGAGGCAGCTTCCTCTGGCTGGCGCAGGTGCTGTCCGGATGCTCCCTTGCAAACCTCCCCCTCTTTGAGGACAGAACCCTCGGTCTGGGCACTGCCCGCCACCACCACACTCACCAGATCGGCAAGGTTCGGCCTCTGGCCCCCCATGAAGGGCCGGTCCTTGCCCACAGCGGTCACCCACTTGTTGGCAGCCTCATAAAGGTCCTCACGCACATTGTCCTGGAGGTGGTGCCTGGGTGGGGAAGGGAAAAGCCTCTCAGGGGAGTGCCAGTCCCAGCCCAGCAGGGAAGAGGGTCTCTTCTGGGGAAGGTGGGAAGGTGTGGAGGCCAGGGCGGCACGCCAGGTGACAGCATCACACCTATAGCCACTTCAGAGAGCATCTGTCCCAGATGGGGAGGCTGTGGCAAGGGCAAGAGACCAGTTCAGGGAGAAAGCTGCAGAGAAGGCAAAGTCATGGCCCGGGCTTCCCAGCTTCAAGGCCGGCCCTGCTGCCCCTGGGGAGGTGAGCAGGAGCTCTGGGTGCGAGTCCTGACCGCCAAGCGACACATAATCCATACTTCGTTTCCCGCCTGCCCTAGGCCTCAGCAGCCCACTGGTCTCCTGACAGGTGTGATGGGAACACCATGCTCATGGTGCTGGAGGCTTGGGAACAGCAGGCCCCGGACGTGCACACACACTTGCCTGCTCTTGAGTCGCTTGCTGATGAGGTACATGGCCGCCGCACCCATGTACTTGGCCACAGCGCCCTCCACGGCTCCGAACTTGCCCTCACGGACAATGTAGTCAAAGGACGCCAGAGCCTCGGTGGGCGTGCGGTACACGTTGGGGGAGATCAGGTGCACCAGCCAGTCGTCCGCCCACTGCCGCCACTTCATCTCCTCCCTGCGGGCACAGGAGAGACTTCCTGAGCCAGGACCTGGGCAGTGCTGGGAGCAGGCTGCATTCTCTAGAACATACCCACGGCATGGGTGGGAAGCGAAGCCTGGCCAGGAAGCTTGTTTTTGTTTTGAGACAAAGTGTCGCGCTGTCGCCCAGGCTGGAGTACAGTAATGCAATCTCAGCTCACTGCATTCTCAGCCTCCCAGGTTCAGGCGATCCTCCCACCTCAGCCTCCCAAGCAGCTGGCACTACAGGCGCGTGCCACCACACCTGGCTAATTTTTGTATTTTTAGTAGAGTTGGGGGTTTTACCATATTGGCCAGGCTGGTCTTGAACTCCTGACCTCAGGTGATCTGCCCACCTCAGCCTCCCAAAGTGCTGGGATTACAGGCGTGAGCCAATGCGCCTGGCCACAGAAAGGTCTTTACTGACAGCCAGCGTGGCCCGGCCCCAGTCCCCCCAGTCTCCCACACTGCTCGCCGCTCATGGCGTCTGGCTCAGCCTGGCCTTCTCTAGAGAAGACCCTGCCTCCCGACCTTCCCCCACCAGCCCCAGCCCCACTCACGTCCTGGCCTCCTTCCCGCTGTACACCTGCTGGGCCTCCTTCTCGTCCAGCATGAGCCAGTACTTATTGCCGAACTCAGTCACCTCCTTGCCCTGGTCATTCACAGCTTTCATGGCTGGGTAGTAGGTGATGATCTCTTCCAGGGGCTGCCTTTGGAGAGAGCCACCGTCTCACCCTGACTCCTTTCCCCTCTTGTCCCCTGTGGCCTACCAACCCGGCTGCCCCAGCCTCAGAGTGGAGCCAGGACAACAAACAGGCTCTTCACACTCTCGCAGTAAGAGGGATTTGGAGTGGATGCAGCACAACTTCCCCAGACAGGGAGGTGTGGGGAGGATGAAGGGGGCGTCTCAGAGGAGGACGGCCATGGCCTACTCCAGAAATCTTTTTTCTTTTTGAGATTGAGTCTTGCTTTGTCACTCAGGCTGGAGTGCAGTGGCTCAATCTCAGCTCACTGCAACCGCTGCCTCTAGGTTCAGGAGATTCTCCTGCCTCAGCCTCCCGAGTAGCTGGGACTACAGGTGTGAACTACCACGCCTGGCTAATTTTTTGTATTTTTCGTAGAGACAGGGTTTCATCACGTTGGCCAGGCTGGTCTGGAACTCCTGACCTCAGGTGATCCGCCCACCTTGGCCTCCCAAAGTGCTGGGATTACAGGCATGAGTCACCTTGCACTCTGGAAATCTAAGCAGCAGCCCCACCTGCTCCCAGGAGGGAACTCAAGTGAGGCCTCCCTGGAGGAAGAAGCCACCAAATGCAACGGCCGCCTGGTCTCCACGGGGCTCCTTACCCTGACACCAGGTAGGTCTTGAGGGCACTGATGATGACAGAGGAGTCGTTCAGTTGTTGCTGGAAGAGAAAATCGTGGTTTAATCAGAGGTTCCCACCCAGCACCCTGGCCCTGGACATTGTTTATCCATTCCTGGGACAGGCCCACTGAGTCCTCCCCGCCCTGCCCTCAGGGCACCCGTCCTGAGTAGGGGAGATGTGGGTGTGGGTGATGAGGAGGAAGGTGTGGGGAAGCCGTGGGTCTAAGCCCCACCCAACTCACCCATCTGGCCTCCCAGGTAGAGGGGCAGGGTGGGTTCCAGAAGCTACATACTAGACACCAAGCACTGTGCCAGGCATTTCATATCTGCTGTCCCTGCAACCCAGAGTATGGCCCCTTGTTGACTCAGGAAGAAGCAAGCCCAGAGGCTAAGTGACTTGCCCCAAGTCACACAGCTAGTGAATGGGTGAGCCATACAGCAAACCCAGATGGCTGATTTCAGAATCCATGTTGTGAAGCTGTGGTGTTCTGCCTCCCCGAGACCCAGCAGGTGTTTGGATTTGGTAGGGAAGGGGAGAGCATCTGCTATATGCAGCTGCTTCCCCCATAGTCCTTAAAGGCACAAGGATTACAAGTTTCTTCCTGGGCTGCAGAGCTGGACCAGGCTAGGGGGCGCTCCAGGACAACCCAGGACAGAAGGGAAGATGCACGGGGTTCCCTGGGGCTCACCGAGTTTTCTCCAACCTGGGCCACCAGGATGGGCACCTTTCTGTAGGAGGAGAACTTGATCTCAGCCCTGCGCACAGGGTTGACCTCCACCACCTGGTAGGGCAGGGCGTGGAAGTCGAGGAAGGCTCGGACCTTGCTGCAGAAGGGACACGTCTTGTACTGGTACAGGGTCAGCTGCAGGTGGCTGGACAGGGAGAGCTGTGGGCAGCAGATGGAACGGGCTCTAGACCTGGCACCCCAGGCCCAGGCCCTGCCCCCAAGCAAGGATGTTTTCTAAAGGAGTCTTCTGGGACGACGCTGGACTATCGGGAAGAGAAACTAGAGATGGGAGGCGGTGGTAGGGGGAAACCGAGGCACTGGAGGGCAGCCCAGGTTCAAGTCCCCTGCCAGCACAGACCCCAGGCAGGAGTCCCAGCCTTTGCTGTGAGGCTGTGTAGGAGGAATCTTCCAGTCTCTGTCCCATACTGGACAG